TCTCAATTGAATTAATTTCTGCTCTAATCTTTATGATTTCCTCTCATCTTTGGTCTCTGGGTTTGGTTTGCTCTTCCTTTTCAAGTTGTTGAAGGTGCAGCATTAGGGTATGTATTTGTTCTTGTTCTGTTTTTGTAATATGTGTGTTCACAGCTATGAATTTCCCTCTGAGAACTGCTTTCATCGTATCCCATAAATTACAATAAGTTGTGCTTGAATATTCGTTGAATTGTAGATATTGTTGAATTTCTTGTTTAATTTCCTCTGTGACCCATCGGTTACTGAGTAGGGTGTCATTTAATTTCCATGTATTTAAAGTTTTTTTCTGGTTTCTTTTGTCACTTATTTCCAGTATCATTGCACTGTGGTCAGATAATGTGCATGGGATAATTTCTGTCTTCTTACATATACTTAAGCATGTCCTATGGACGAGTATGTGGTCTATTTTAGAAAATGACCCATGTGCAGCTGATTAAAATGAGTATTCAGCTGTGTTTGGGTGGAACACTCTGTATATGTCCACCAAGTCCATTTGTTTCAAGCTCTGATTTAGTTCTGTTATTTTTTTGCTAAGTTTTGTCTGGTTGACCTATCTTTTTTGGATAAGGGGGTGTTAAGGTCTCCTGTTAAAATTGTGGTATTGGATATTAGATTTTTCATGTCCATTGAGATTTGCTTTATATAGTTGGTTGCTCCTGTGTTTGGTGCATACATATTTATAAGTGTTACCTCTTCCTCTTGTATTTTTCCTTAAACCTGTATATGGTGGCCTTCTTTATTTTGCTTGATCATTGTTGGTTTGAAGTTGAGACTGTCTGAGAATAGGATTGCTACCCCTGCTTTTTTTCTGAGGTGCTAGGGCATGAAGTATTGTGTTCCATCCTTTGAGTTTCAGCTTATGAATGTCTTTGTGAATTAAATGTGTTTCTTGTATACAGCATATTGTTGCATTTTGTTTCCTAATCCACTGTGCCAGTCTATTTCTCTTAATTGGTGAATTGAGTCCATTTACATTGATGGTTAGAATTGAGATGTATTGACTTA